GAACATCAACTACTTAAGTATGTAACTATCGCCAGAAATGCTAAAGGCCCAACAGGCCAAGTACTTTTGCAATTACTTGAAATGCGTCTGGACAATATAATATTTCGTTTAGGAATGGCACCTACTATTCCTGCAGCACGTCAACTGGTTAATCATCGCCATATTCTAGTCAATGACTTTACAGTACCTAGTTATTCTTGTAAATTAGGAGATAAAATATCGATCCACAAACATTTCGAACTCTTCTGGGGACTCAGACATATCTCTCAAACAGAGGGTTGGTGGGTCTAAACGTGTCTGTGGGGCGATGTATGGGTCGCCAGCCTTGGCCAACGCCTGAAATGGGGAAGGCAACGTTACCACTTCAGCGCGAGTAAGAGCGGCTAACACTCCTACTGGCCCGAGGGGTTTCCCTGCGAAGTGCTTGCAGAAGCATCGCCAGGGTTTGAGGATAAGCCCACTACCGTTGGAGCGGCTACCCTCGTGGTGACCTGCTTGCCTCGTCAAGTTCTTGGCATGTGGCGATAATTGCCACAGTTCATGTGTGTGCCCCTGGCAACTCGGTCCCTCCATACCGCGTAATTTAAACCAAGTCTTACCCGTGCGGGTGTTCCTTGGTCGCCCTGACCCGTAGACCGGCCTACCTTCTTCTTCCCGATCCCCCTAGCTTTTTCCCTTATAGGAGCCACAACTCCCCCATCCGAAGTCTCGCTGGCCCCATCATGCTCTCTCTCATCCCCATAGTCTGGAAAGTCGTCAATTTCTATCGCTTAACCAGCATGGTCGATGAACATTAGTTGACCTTTCTTCTTCCAGTCCTGGGTAAGTTTCTTCTTCCTACCATCTCCCTGACTCTGATGCGCGGACCCAAGCTTTGCCTCTATATCTAAGGCTTCCTTGGTAAAAGAGGCGAAGTTATGTTGGTCAACATAGGCCTCATCCACCAGCTTAGTCTTTACCTCTGCAGACAGACATCTCAGGTAATATGTAAGGAGAACCTGCTGGTCGTAGTGCACACCAGGTACCACAAGCAGCAGTTCTACGGTGTCTGTGAGTTCGCAAATAGTCTTGTGCCTTTTGGCACAAAGATTGTTGATGGTGTTGGTGGCCTTCTGAGCCCCTTGAGGGTCATGCCACCTATTATACACAGTCTGTACGAAGTCTTCCAATGTCTGGGTCTAGGCCCAGGCATCGAAATTCTGACCGTAGCCCTGTTGCTGCACTAACCCATTCAACCAACGCGCTGTCGATCCCTCTAAAAAGGAAGCAACAATTATGACTTCCTGCTTTGGCCCGGTGAGCTTGTGCCTCACATAGGTAGGCACAGTCCTCACCCAGGTATCTAAGTCCTCGTCCTTCTTCCTATCGCCAGAGAAACGCTTGGGACTCAGCAAGGGTATCTTGCACATCCACTACATAGGTTGGTCCTGCCCAGGCGATTGCTGCAGTGGCAGCATGGCCACTGAGATAGGTTGCGGCACACTAAATTGCGGCTGTCCAGACAATGGCACTATAGTTGCCACCATCCTCGATGGTGTGGGAGAAGAAATCAGAATCTGACCACTGACTACTAGTTGATTACCTGAAAGAGGAATGCCATACATAGGAGAGAACGAGGCCCCTATCGGTGATGGCGTCACTGAGGGAACCACAACCGAAGGGGGAGCTACAACATATTGAGGCTGCCTCATCACTGGACGAGGAGCCTGCAGTGCAGCCATAATTCGTTTCTGGCCGTCCACTAGTTTGGCCAGCACTTCCTGTTGGACAACCTGCGTTTCTGCCGCAAAAAGGAGTGAGCGACGCAACGCTTGCATTGCAGAGTCAAGTGTCGACTCGTCTAGTGCCTGTAGATTTCTTAACTCCTGTCTCCTGGCTCCTAGTCTAGTGATAGCCCTTTGTCTCCTCTTTGTTGCGTCTCTAAATTGTTGTTGTAGTTGATCATCCAGTTCTTCTGCTTGGAGGATCTCATAATCCTCAGGTGTGAGTGGCATCTGCTGGCTGACTTGTGAGCCAACAGATTGACTAACAGAACTCTGAGAGATACCTTGACTGCCACCTGACGAAGAGGCCTGGGACAAGGCCTGGGACACTATAGAATCGCAACCTCAACCTAAACTCTAGCGTCCGCTAGTCTTGCTTCTGCAAGTGTCCGTTTAGCGTTGGTTGCCGCTGTCCTAGCCCTCTCTAATATCGTCCTTTCCTTGGCTTCCCTTTGCAGCCGCCTTTCCTCTCCCTGGCCTAACTCCAAGAAGGTAATCGGTTGACTGAGTGCAGTTCTACGAGCCACTCTAAGATGTTCCACTAGTCGTTCCTCCTCGTCACTACTGCCTGCATCACTCATGAGCTACAGTGTGTGTGATATAAACTAGAGTCCACATTGAATCCTACCTCAGCATGACACACAACCTGGTATGAACAAATCAAGTCCATCATTAACGAAATGTGGCAGCGTACGGCTCAACAGATGGGCACCCGACTGCAAACGACATCACGAAATCACCCTGCGTCAAATGGCCAGGCAGAACAGACGAACCAAGTAGTGCAGCACCTGCTCCGGCATTACATCAAGCCAAGCCAGGATGACTGGGACGAGAAATTACCTCCCGTCGCCAGCCTGTACAACAACGCTGTGCACAACACTACTGGCATGACTCCCAACCAACTCCATCTTGGTTGGAAGCCCAGATCGGCCCTTGATTTCCTACTACCTGAGAATCAGTCAACTGCAGCACCTGGCAGCATAGAATTTGTTGTCAACTACGAACAGATGCTACAGCAGGCCGTTGAACACATAAAGAACTCTCAGGAGTCTATGATTGCATCTAAGAACAAAGACAAATGGCCTTCTAACTTTCAGGTAGGGGATAGAGTCTGGGTTAAATCATCTGAACTAGGTCAGGAGTTGGGAATTTCCCGAAAATTAATGCCTCAGTATTTCGGTCCCTGGGAGGTCCTAGACATGGTGGGGGCTCAAATAGATTGACCCTCTTATGTCATTCGCATCCCTGCTCACCTTCGCACACACCCAGTTTTTCACGCCTCAAAGTTGGCACCTTTCGCAGAAACTGCACAGTTTCCCTCCAGACGATCAATGCTGGTCCCAACCATGGATGGCCAAGTCGACATCGACGAAATCGTGGAACACCGGGTGATGCCAGTGCCTAAACCTCCTGGCAGAGGCCAACCTCCAAAGCCAAGGACGCAGTACTGTGTCAGATTCAGACACCATACTGATCCCAGCGAAGATCGGTGGTTCACCAGAGAAGAGCTTCAGCGAACAGCTCCGCAAGTGATTGCAGACTACGAGAAAGGACTCAAGGGAAAGATGCCTGCAGACTAAGGGACTTCTCAGAGGACTATCGAAGTTAAGGAGGAGGGAATGCGAGGATAAGGCTCCTCGGCAGGCCCAAGGGGCCCCTGATGCAAGTATGCCCGCCCTAAGTGAAGGCGGGCCTAACAAATCACGAGAGGCCCAATGCTGTCAATTTTGTATTTGGGGTTCAGGCAGTTGTGTCGCGTCAGTTGGTTGAGGGGATCCAGGACCCGAGCACAGGGGGGGGGGGAGAGAGAGAGAGAGAGAGAGAGAGAGNGAGAGAGAGAGAGAGAGAGAGAGAGAGAGAAAGAGAGAGAGGGAGAGAGAGAGAGAGAGAGAGAGAGAGAGAGATGAGGATGTGATGTGAGGGCTCATACCTGGTGTTGGCGATGGTCTGCATTGGGCGACATCTTCATGTACTTCGGTGGCTGCTGACGTCAACAGTTGCATTGTCAACTGTTAGGCAGATAGTAGCTGTGTGGGAAGTAGTCTGGGCACCGAGCGCCAAGTAGGGGGAAGGGCCTGGACTCTTATGTTGGTGAAGACGAGAGTAAGCTCTCATTGACATTCGGTTTCAGTGCTACGATTCTCCATTGGTGTATTATTGGTGCAATGCTACTTTCTGGACACTGAGGGACTTTCTGGCTTTCAATGTGACCATGTTATCTGGATTCTGTCATCTCGCTATTGTTCATTTTCCTTGCGAAAGTGAAAGGAGCGAAAAAAAAACAGAAGAATAAAGTGAAAGGAGCAAAAAAAGACAAGAATTTAAAGTGTCCATGGTGCGCGGGTATGAGTTTAACCTAGAAGAACCAAATCAAATACATAAGAATCTCAAGTGTCCATGGTGCGGGCAGGAGTTCATAAAAGGAACAAAAAAAAACAGAAGAATGTTAAGTGTCCATGGTGATTTCATTTTAGGGAAGTGCTGAAAGTTTTGCAATGCCAATTTCGTGCGGGGTGGGAAGGTTTGAAAACCTATAGGGAGAGGGGGTTATAAAACTGCTTGATATAGGGCATTTGGTCCGTTTGTCTGAATTTTTGGAAACAGAAAATTCACTGTTCGCCTGTGTTGGACTTGGATTTCGAGTGACTGACCCACTATGTCATGTTGCGAAGCGGCTCTGGCCCTGTGAGACTCGCTTAGTCTGTGATGCAAAGCCATGGTGTCGCTGTGAGAGTGAGTAAGTCCTTGATGCACGGACCTGCTTTGTCATGCGGCCGAAGCCGCACAGGCTCTGTGAGAGTCGTTAAGTCTTTAATGCGCTGAGCGCTAATTCATGCGGGCAAAACCGCACTGGCTCATCTTTTATGTTTTTACTTTTTTTTTTTCATTTTTATTTTGGCAAAGAATTTTGATGTGACCGTGAGGCAAAAGTTGTTCAGTTTATTTTTCTGCACAACATAGTTTTTTTTCGTTTTTTTTTTCTTTTTCCCAGGGACCTTCCCTGGCCCTTTTTCCCGGCTGGCCCCTTGGGCATCTAAGGTGACCCGGGCGGCCTGGTTGGTAACACAGGTATGGACTACATTCTCTGTGATGCTTCCCAGACGTATTCTGCACAGATCTAGATTTAACCCAGTTGCTTGCAGCAGCTGGCCATTCTGATGTATTATATCCTGCTGACATATTGCAGACCCAGATGAAGCCTCTGTAGCTTTGCTGTGGTGTTTCCTTCTTGTGCAGGTTCTCCTCAGTCAATCGCATCGACATAGAGCTCTCGAACTGCTGGGCCAGTTTCTTGATAAGGGTTCATGGGCGGTTGACCTGGTAAGTCAATCCACATCCTTTGTTCCCTGGGACTTGAAAAGGCAGCCTAGTGAGAAACCCTTGCCATCTTCACAAACATGTTTTCAGTACCCTTGTGAGACCTCCTTTTGTGATAAACTTAAAATCCAAACAACCAGATCGGTTATTTCCTGGATTCGACCAACTTCCAGGCCTAAACTTGTTTTCTGGCTACGAGCCCTATGAGGTGTGGTCCTTGCGGCATGATGGGGTTGGGCTACTCTCTCACTTTCCCCTGGAAAAAGAGAAGTGTAGCAAGCCAGGGCTCAAACCGTGGACCTGTCGAGTAGCAGTTTACTTGGGCCAGTCCTTTGGATTACTTCTGCACCAAGGCATTTTCCAGTCTCTGGGCCTTCGTTTCCGAATCCCTGGTACCCTGGCAATTTGGAGATTTGGCCCTTGCCCATTTTGGCGGCAGAGATCCCTTTTCCCTTTTCAAACTGGTGCCAGCAGTTCAGCTCGGGCCCGTTCAGACCCAAGCCTCTCTCAGCAGGGGTACTTATACCAACGGTCAGTAGCACTATTCATTCCTCATTTATTCTTTCTTCTTGCTACTACTTGGATCTCCATGTCTTGAGTCTGTCTTGTTCAGTCTCTCTGTACTTATTCTCCCTGTGTCCGATTCTGTCAGTCCTGTTGATTTGAGATCGTGTGTGTGAAAGTCGAGTTTCTATGCTCCATGCATGGCATCTCTGCATCAGTCCTGTTATATAGATACCAGAGCAGGCCTGTTTAGCCTGTTTTGCCACCTTCCTCTCCGACGGCCATAGCCTCCCACCTCTTGTGTGTGCTCTCCTTGTGAGGAGCAGATTGTCCAGGACCCTGACCTGCTCGGCTTGTGGCAAAATCTTGGTTTTCTTCGCACCCTCTATCATTTTCTGGTGCTTGGAATGCGAACGCAACATCACAATCATCTTCAGGTATTTACCGTGTCTGACATCTTTCATGCCACTCCGTACGCAGTCCCTTCCAAGTTGCACATCAATCAAAGTCCGTTATTTTTCTTACATACAATAATTATTAATTTGCTTTTCAAAAAAGGGCAAAACTGTTTACTATGTTTTTTATCTTCCCTTCAGTTTTTGCCATCCTTTGTCCCATTGCAATCCTTGTCCTTGATTCTTCTTCTTCTTTTTTTTTTATTTTTTTTTATTTTTTTAAGGGCAACAGCCTTGAGATATCATCATTGAACTGACCGGGACCCCTGGTAATTCAGAATGATTTTATTCTGTTCATCTGAATATATCTAGATTTGAACTTGGGTCTGTATTTCAACTGTTCATGGGTGTACCAACTGAGCTAGGGCCGATGGTTTTGTGCTTGAATCTGATAATCCAATAGTAGACTATTCCCCTCTTCTTCACCTCAATTACCCCTTGCTCTCTCCCCTGACCTATCAACATGGACAGTCTTCGATCATTGCTCTTTCCCATGTCGCCCAATCTCCACACCAAACCGGCTCACACTTCCCAATGGGAAGAGAGATTGACATATCCCAGTCCAATGTCAATCCATGGTGGGTATCCATCGAGGGATAGAACCAGACACTGCTACATGAGCCGCCGCCGCAGCCACTACAACCTCAGAAGCTTCCTCCATGACATCTCCACGGTTCAAACCATCCTGGATAATGTCCAAATGCACATTGAACGGAGGAGCTTCAAGACTTCTGCACTTACCACCCACCACGACATCCACATCTACCTCACTGAATTGGATCATGCGTAGGCCACTGACTCCATCACCGTCGTCGCCACCACTGCTTCGGCTTCAACCAAAGCAGTGAACCCGCCCCTCCCCCCAAATCACTTGTACAACTCCTCACTCCAGATGAATTGCCGAATCCCTCCTCCTCCCCCATCGTCATGCATCTCATCATTCACCCTTGCCTTTAGCGTACCCCCATTATCTTCCACCATCACCACGACCTGTGTTGCCTCGACCACCTCCTCCACTGTTCCAGTCATCACTTCAGTTGCTTCATCATCTCTCTGTTGCTTCCACTCCCAATCCAACCCCCCCCCCCCCCCCCCCCCCCCCCCCCCCCCCCTCCCCCCCCCTCCCCCCCCCCCTTTTTCCCCCCCCCCCCCCCCCCCCCCCCCCCCCCCCCCCTCCCAGATAGCCAGGTTTATCACTGTTCCCCTTGCATCTTTGCCACATCACAACACCCACTCCACTTGCAGTCACCACAACTCAGGCAACCCTGTCACGGACTCCGCCAGGGCTCGATCCCTGGTCTGCAGATTACCATCCGCCAGCTTGCTGTATTTATTTTCTTTTTTTTTTGTTTTTGCAATTCTTTTGTTTTGTTTTACTTTGTTTTTGCTTTTCCAATTTTGGACAGTTGGCGCCATCAGCATTCTGGCACCCTTTTTTCACATTCCTTCTTTTTGGACTTCGGATTTTGGACACTTGGCACCATCCGGCATTCTGGCGCCCACTCTCAGACTTTCGATTTTCAGTTCTGGCCCTGATGCATTTTCGCTTTCGCCCTCAGGACCGTATTTGAGTCCGGTACCCGAGTACGAAATCAAGCGCAGTACGACACCAAGTTTTCAGCCTCAGTGCTTGTGTTCAGTGTGACTTTGCTTCGACATTGTGTTCAGGAATTCAAGACTGCGACTTTGCGACTTTTGCCACTTTGTGCATGTGTCTGTCGAGTCGTGTCGACTCTGCGTCGAGTTGAGCGAGCGTGTGTGTGTGTGCTCTCACTCTCCCTCTCTCTCCCAGCTTTGCTGCTCTGCCTCTGCCTCGTCACACTGGTATCGGAGCGGTGTCGATCGCCCTCCTGCCCGCCCTGATCGATGCGGAGCAGCTTCAACGACACTATACCATCATCATCATCATCGCCTTCGTCATCGACATTGCCACGTCATCCCCACCATCATCATCTTCAACGGCGACATTGCCACATTATCGTCATCGTTGCCACATCATCATCGTCACTGCCACGTCATCACCGATCCTGAAACACCAACGACGACATGCAGGTACATCATTTTTTTTCTTTTTTTCTTCTTCTTCTTCTTCCCTGATCTCCGACCCCGATCTCTCGATCTCCCCCCCTAATTTCCCCCTAATTCTTCCTCGACTTCCCCTCGATTTCCCTCTGATTCCCATTCCACACTCCTCCTCCCTCCCTCCTCACCAGCACATCTCCGCTCCCATCTTGTCCACCTCGACCATCACATCCATCCCGCTCACATACGCTCAGGTCACCAAAATTGCCTACACGTCATCCTTTACTCTCCTCCCCGCCTTCCCCCAGCCTCCCCCCAACAACCTTATCCCTACCAACCCCACCGACGACTGCACCTGCGTCGCATTGGCCTCCACATCCTATGACTTCAACACCCTCACTCACGTGTCCCCAATTGGCTACCTTCCCCCCTCCCTCTGCCTCCAAGACATTCCCACCTTCTTCGGACAATCCCATGACGACGTTCTCCTCTTCCTCGCCAATTATCCACTGGCTTTCCATCGCCATCAACAAACTCTTCGACTCCGCCGGTCTTCTTCCCCTCTCCTTTCTTCAGTGGGCCTCCCTCCTCTCTACCACCTTCCGCCTGCTAAAGACAGTCGACGACTACGTCGACCAGTTTTGCAGGCTTTGCTAAAACGGCCCCACCGACCGTTGTCGGTGTGAATACCCTTACAAGGGTATCCGCCCTGGGTTTTGCAAGTGACAAAGAATAAGCTTGAAATAAAGTTGTGCACGCCGCGCGGGTCGGCGGTTGTGTCCTTGGGTCTTCACAGACAAAAATAAAATAAAATGGTTGACTAGAGTAGAGAGTGTGTGGGCGCGCAGACTTAAGGCGCGCGTGATTTCTTTTCTTATTGATGGTTGTAGAACCGGCATGGTGCCGGCCAAGTTTTATTTTTGATTCATGTATGTACGCGCGAAGGACGAGCTGTCGCATGGTAGGCATGGAGTTTGACGACGTGGACTTAGTAGGCAGGCCAAGGCGCAACTTTGGAATGTTTCAATAAGCCCGCGTGTCACGGGGCACAGACTTGTATAGGTGTCCGCTAGTACTAGGCTCAGCCCTGGGCCTAGCAGTATTGGTTATGATATCGGACTTTCATCAAAGAGATTTAGGGATCGAGACCAGCGAGCGACGGAAAAGGGGCATCGGAGCAGCGCAAAGGAATCGCGGGGTTGAGGGCCCGGCGAGGCTATCCCCCATATTTTTGCTGCCTGCGGGCCGAAGCGGTACGGGTAGTCCCTTCTTTTTCTCCCCTCGTATGTTGTTTTAGCGTTTATGTTTCTAATCTTTATTTTTATTTTTATTGTTATTGTTATTATTTATTTACTTGTACTGGTTGGTTTTCTTTGAGTCGGGCGAGGTGTCGGGACCGATGGTGGGTATGCGCATGCGAGCCGATGGGTGATTGGCCATGTGGCGGGGGAAACTTGGGTGGTGTGGTCCCAATGGGGTTGCCCATCCTAATCACCCGCGGCTTGCTGTGGGCCAAGCGCAAAACAGCAGGGGGACTAAGGTCGCTTGGGTAGGGCGCCTCCCTGCTTCGATCCTCAAAGTCGCCATTTGAATATTTGCTACTACCACCAAGATCTGTACATGGGCCCACCCCACCGGCCTCACGCTCTCAGACTTCGCACCATCTGTTTTTCCGAAACTGATTGACTCGGCAGGTGAGTTGCCTACGTGCTCCCTAGCAGCTTTCGACGACGGGCACCTGAGTTAACGAACGAAGGCGGAGCGAAATTCATGAAGGGAAGGTAGAAATCCAGGGATGTCAACCATACCGAACGTATGAGAAAAGAGTGGGAATGAACTTGGAGGGGGGTGGCATCGGGTTGCATTCCGAGAGAAAGACAAGGGAGACTAGCTATGGCGGAGGGGAAAAGGTGTAGGTCGCTCGTGCCTTAATGGAACCGAGCGAAGTGAAGGTCGGAGTCGGGGTTTGAAAGCAAGGCGAAGCGATCAGCGGAGCCAGTTTGGCGGCAAGAGGAGTGTAGA